TTTATATCACCATGATAGTGAAATGAAATGTTTTTCGAAAATATACCAATAATTCTATTTTCATTCCCTTAAAACAATGCATATTTAAATAATACATTGAATTTAAGCATCGAAAAATTCGAATTCAATAATTAAAATTAAATTTAAATTTCTAAAATTCACTTAATTTTGATAAGTAATAATTGTACCAAAAATTTTTCGTTATTTTTGTTGTTACCAAACTTTTATTCAGGATTTATTCTATTACACTCTTTAAAGAAAAATATACCAAAACGTGGGATGTTTTAGTTTTGTTGAAAAAATTTAATTTGAAATCGAGAATTCATTACAAATTATTCATTTCCAATTAAAATAATTAAGTTTGAATCAGCAAAAAGAAAAGGTGGGAAGATACATGTAGACAGTAAATTACTTATTACTTAATTTCTCCTTAATTCAATACTTTAATTTACTCTAAAACATTTGATTCACTTGCCATTGTTATCAGCGATAATTGCTGTTGTGCAAATATAACTTTGATTATCTTCTATTATCGGATGTAATTAGAATTTATTTCGTTCATGTGTTATGCTCATTTGATAATTTTGATACGAATTTAATTGACAGCATGAAATTTTCGACGGTATCCTGCATATGAAAATAACTTTTATCATTTTTTTTTTCATTTATCTCGGGAAAAAATGATTCCGATATTTTTCAAATTATTCTATCGCCATTATTAATTAATATTTTTGATTTTAAAAGAAAAAAAAAATAAAAAAAATACAATTACTTTTATTGTCTAATATAATTAGGACCAAAAATTTTACAAACATTTCCAAACCTTAAAAATTCATATCTGATAGGAAGAGAAAAAAACAAAATGTCTAGTTTAAAATTAAACAATTTTGCAATGAAACTTTGATACTTATCGTTCATCACATTTAAAAAATCATTTATGAAACGGTGTGTAATTTCTAAATTTTGTTTTTGTTTTACTGCTCGGTGTAATTGACAGTGTTATATAACATTTTCATGTAGTATTGGAAAAAAAAAACAAGAGGGAATGAATTTGAGTTTATTTATTTTCAATAAATCCTGAAATTAATTATACTGATAAAGTTTGAATTATGTTAAATTACAATTAAAAAAATTATTTTTTTTCTTTTTTGAAATTTTCAAAATTTTTTTGATTAATTATTTTCTTACAATTTTACAATTTAATTATATTATTATTTCAACAAAAAAGTGTTGAAGATTTTATTTTATTTTTCAAAAATTTTATTTTCAAACTTTTTTTTTTTTCGACAAATTTTTTATCAAAAATTTTTTTTATTTTAAATTTTGTTGATTAATTTTATTGATAACGAAAATAATGGGCAACATTTTTAAAGCATTGTTACTGGTTTTGTTTCTTTGCTTATTTGTTTGTTTTATTCATTAATCATTCTTGTAGAGTGTCTTATCATTTGTTACGAATAAATTTCTTTTTTTTTGAAATGGAATAAAAGCAAAACGCTAAATCAGTTTATTCAAGTACGTTGCATTAATCTGATAAATGGTTAAAATGAAATTATTATTAATTTAGTAGTTCATGTAAACTTGTAAATGGATAAATGGTTTGAATGGAATTATTCATAATTTAGGTGTCTACGTAATTTATAAGTGATTTTAACCGGAATGATTTCACTCATGAAATTGAACTTACGTAAATAAGAAGAGAAATGCATAAAGTATCGCGTTTTTAAAGTGTAAAATCGTTAACTTATCATATGCTAAAATAAAAAGGGCAAAAGGCAACCCATCAGGAAGTACGTAAATATTGAACATTGATATTACTACACTATTCCAAGTTGCTTATGCTAACTATCATACTAATAATTCAATATATTAATTATAAGCAATTTGAAATGATTCGGAATTGAAGTATTAAAAATAATGAAATTTATTTCTTCACTAATGTCGGAATAACCGTGATTAAAATATCACAAATAAATAACGAAAAATATGCTTCTGAATCTGATTGATTCTTTTCCTACTTTTTTTTTTCAAAATCTCCCCAATTATTTCAATAGTTGACAGTTAATTATTGACAGTTACGAATATATAAAGGAAAATATGCTTCTGAATCTAACTGTTTGTTGCGAATATATAAAGGAAAATATGCTTCTGAATCTAACTGTTTCTTTTCCTATTTTTTCCTCTCAAAATCTTCCCATTATTTCAATAGTTGACAGAGTCAATCATGGAAATCCAACCTGTGTTACTGCTGCTAATTGAGCTGTAGAAATTTTTGAACAGGAAATATTTTCAGAATGGAAAATCTTGATCTATTCAACAATTTCAAAAATTATTTATTACATTGTACTTGACCTACTTGATACTAGAAAGCATAACTTAACAAAATAATTTCATTAACAGGTAAACCCTTGATACCTTCTTTTTTTTAAAAAAGATATCTATAATTTTATGAGTTACTAATTATTCCATTTGTATGACAATTTCATTTGTCCTAATTTTTCATTTTGTTGAAATAAATGTTTTCAACAAACATTAATATAAGTTTTTTAATAATTGAAATAGACAGTATTGTATTCATTTCTTCAGTGTTTCAACATGTAAATCACTTTTTTACTTCAATTTTTCAATATACTACCCAATATATTTTCAAATATCCTATCATCAATTTCAAATATCTTATCATCAGTGATCTATTCGAAAATTTCGGGAATTTTTTATCAATTAATGTTGTTGATATGAAGCAAATGCTTAATGATAGTATTAACGATTGCTATTTAGTTTTATCCATTAATGAATGCTATATATTTCGAAAAATTTCTGCAAAGTTTTTTATGATATTAAATGACCTATCATCAATTTCGATTATCTTATCATCAATTTCAAATATCTTATCACAAATTTCAAATATCTTATCATCGGTAATCTATCCAAGAATTTCGGGTATTTTTTTATCAATTAATGTTGTTGATATGAAGCAAATGCTTAATGATAGTATTAACGATTGCTATTTAGTTTTATCCATCCATAAATGAATGTTATATATTTCGAAGAATTTCTGCAATGTTTTTTATGATATTAAATGAGATAGCTTTAAATCGTTTAGGATTAAGAGAAATAAAGAAGGATAGATAGCAAAATTTTCTTATCATATTTTTAAAATGCATTTATTTATTTTTTTAACATTCATTTTCATTACAAAAATGAATGAAAAAGATTGTCATATTGTCTACTTTAATTTTTATATCAAAAATTAGTATGATAACATGATTGATAAGAAATGAATTAATGCTAATGAACAACAAACATATCAGTTGATATTATGAATGCTGTCGTAATTTTAAAATAGTTAAAGTTTTCTGCACTCCCTGATCCAAAAAAACTTCAGTAAGAGTGACGGAAAATTTGCTTCCGTTTCACCTATCGATTCTAACTGAATTTTCACCTACTTCTTGATTACTTCAGAGATTTAATATCAGTAAAGTTCGAAACATTCTTCACCTGAGAAGGCTTTTGTCCTGCATGGATCCTGATATGTCTTATCAGTTCATCAAACTTCGAGAAACGTCGATCACAGTTACTTCTACTGAAGTACTAAAGTTAGATTTTTTTTTTATTGGAATTGTCAAAAATCCAAAATTTAAACTATTTGAAATTTCAGAAATTCTACTATAATACTTCAGTAGAATTAAGTAGTAAGGATTGAAACAAGAGCGGTATTATAAAAGACTTTCAAAAGTTCGATTTTGTTAACATTGAAATGTTTTCTTAATCTAACCAATAAAGATAAATTTCTTATTGCCAAATATTTCTAGAACAAATAAAATATGGTGAAAGAAGGAGAATGAATCATGTATTATTGCTATGCATTTAAGTTGACTTGTATTTATAGTATTTTCAACTAAACTTAATTTGAATAAATTATAAACTTCTAATCATATTCAATTCTGCAAAATATAAAGAAGTAAAATTTACATTTTTAAACATTTTAACAACTCTGTCTCTAAGTAAGAGGTCTTATTTTCATATTATGATCCAAAAAGTGGAAGTAATTTTGTCTTAACAGCTACTTATTTGTTTTAGGATAAAATTTCAATCTCTTTTAGCTAGAATTCATATTATTAAATTTATTATCGATTTGTCAATTTTTCTTAATTTATTCGAAGAATTCTTATTTCCTGAATTTTTGAAAATTCCTAATATTTTTCTTTCAAATAATATCCTCTATTTCTTCTAGTTTAACTTATCCTGAAATTGATTCGAATTTCTTCAATTTTTAATTTAGTCAATTAAATTTTGAATGAAAAAATTTGAGGAGAAAATGATTATCTCTATCTTTTTAACATTTCAATATTTGGTTGAAATTTACATTCTAATCAATTTAATAATTACCGGTAATGAAAAAGGGGAGTTATTTTTTGCGTATGGAAAGAAAGAAATATGTAAGAGAAATACCTGATTCTTTTTTTCTTTCTTTTGCTGGTAGAAAATAATTAACTACTATGATTAATTAATTATTGTGTGAGCTCTCATCAACTTTGCCATATTCTATGGCATAAAATAAATGAGGAGTAACGTCTAAATTGATTATTAGTTTTATATGACACTAACAAATCATTTCAATTCGAAAAGTTCTAATTAATCTTGTACGTTTAATAAAGCTTTCGTGATTCTTTCCTTATCCTCATCCATCTTCAGAACTGTCAAGAACGATAAAACTATCAAAATTTGAATTGTCGAGGTTAAATTATCAATATAATTGCGTTAGGAAGCTTGCAATACCTTCATGCATGAATCAAATCATCTGAAATATCGTCACGCATGAATTTAATCTTAATCCGACATGCATTTACCATTTTCATCAACTTTAACATCCCAAAAAAAAAAGATACATTGTTTCAATTGGTCACAAAATATCATATTCTTGCATGCAGGTATCGCAAATGATTAGTCTTTATATCAATGATAATCCACCGCTTCACAATTTGCCATTTGAACTTGCGCTATATGTGCACATACTGTGCACTTGCGCATATCGTTGTACATGTAAGTTTCTGATTAGGACGACGAGGTTGCCATAATAAATTAAATGCTAACAATGAATCTACCAAAAATCGACGGATACCCCTGGAACTCCAAACATCCCTACCATAGTTCCAAGCGTAATTCATTCCGTTTAGCGTATTATGCACTCTATTTACTGGAAGTAGGCTAGACGGTATTTCGCGGTTTGCCGATATTTTTAAATATTTTGAAATACCGGGAGGTTTGACAGCTTTGATAGTTTCCACAGTGTGCTCGCCGACATGCGATAACATTACATAACGTCAAATTTTATCTTTTTCAATTCTTGCAGTTATCATTTAAGAACTTTAAAATCTTTGCTATATTTTAATTCCCAGTTGTGTCTTGTTTTGTTTAAGTTATCTTGTTTCCCAAAGATCTTATTAATATTCAATTGATCGTCTGAAATTTTATCATTTTTCATTTATAATTTGTCCTCTATTTATAAGCATTTAAAAATTTAGTAATTTAACAACTATGCAAGTTATTTCCTAAATCAGCCAATGAATTAAAAAGATTTGTTAAGCGTACGAAATAATTCATTGATTAAATTGGATTTTTTTATTCGACTAATTTAACTGATAGTAAATTTGCTCCTCAATTTTTTATGTTACAAGGAGGAGAAAATGATAATTCACTAACAAGCATTTATTCAGTAAACTGCTCTTCACAATCTTTATCACTTGACAAGAAGGCTTTAAAATCGAAATTTATTTTGGAACTTTTGAATATTGAAATTTTCATATTTTTTCCACTTTATTTATTTTAAAATCATAATGCTTAGCAAATTTAATCTTTTTGATTTTCAAAGGACTATGTGGGAATTCAAAGACATGTCATTAACTATCTAGATAATCCTTTATCGTTGTGAACGGATTTTCTCTACAGGTTCAAAACGATGAAACGGTGTTCTAGCCAGTGTGAAACTCAATACACATCACGATCTGATGGTGATGATGATGATGATGGTAGTACTAGCCAAGGTAGCCAAGGTAGTAGATGATCTGTTGTATCGTAATTACTGTTGAGACTAGTTTGTCTGAATTTGATTAAAACAAAGCATCTTTTTCTCTTAAATTACTTTCTATATGTGTTCGAATTACCTTATATAAAAAAAAACCAAATATGTCATGATTTATGAGTGATATCGTAGCTGCATTATATATCTACATATCATTATTTACGAATTTTTGTTATATTTTTGATATTTTATAATGAGAGGCAAAATTTCCCCAGAATTCTTTCCCTTGTAGATGAAGGGACATACAATTGTTACGAAGTGCTTTATGGAAAAATATCCTCAAGAATTCATAAAAGATGGCAGGGTGATGGGTTGTTATACTGTCAGAAACGTTCAGTTATATTGCGAACGGAGGTTATCTTTTTTCGTTTTAATGTTTAAAAAATTGCGTGTTTTCTTTATTGTCTTTAATAATCCTGAATATCAAACCGTTGATAGCTTAATCATGGAGATTAAATGGAATCCTTCAATGGTTTGCGATTTCAGGAAGTTTATACGTATTGCACTGATGCACTAAATGTCCGACATCATCTCAATGATGTCGTTATTTATTCTGATCAATGGTACCATTCAAACTATGTTGATATTTGTTCTGACTAATTCAATCATTTAGAACGGTGAAGAAGTTGCAAGAGCAAGTGGTTATTCAATAAAACAATTGGGCGAGTTGAAGAAGGGCAGTCGTCTGAAAATTAATAATTATGAATTGGAGGTGCAAGCTGAGATAAATTCACGGCAGCCCGGTACTATTTTTTCTTGTTTAGGAAATTTTGACGCAAACTTTTTTCACGAAGTCATAAGCCAGAAATATCTTGCTTGTTATTGTTGCAACAGTTGATGGAGCTGAAAACACTGAAGAGCAACTAGCAGTTGCTGAACTGAGAAGCACTGGAGTAGATGGCCACAATCCAAAAAAACGGAGAGGAATTACCGGTCAGAATTTCATTTCGCCACTGTTTGGTCGCGATGATCCTTTGGATTTTGTGTTGGATGAGGTATTTATTTCATTATCATAACTGTAATCCAAAATAAGACGACATCATGTGGCTCCTTTCTTTCCATAAATTTTTTGGAAAAATATATTACGTTCCATGATTAATCTCGAAGTTAACATTGTATTAGACAAAAAATGATGATGGTTCTGTACGACGAATCGCTGTGGATGTGGGAATTGCTCGTTACCTGAGGCCACATCAAAAGGATGGAATCGCTTTTATATACAAATGTTTAAAGGTTTCTCTCTGTCGTTGAATTTTATCTTTTCAGAATTTCCAGGAATTTAAATTCTAATAATTCATTTGCTTAAAAAAGATTCACATTCACTAAATCTTGACTAACTGACCTCTGACCTGTTTTGCTTTTGCCTTTTGTATATGAACTGAACTGAAATTTAATCTGAACTTGAGAAATAAAACCCCTTCAAAATATTAGTTTTAATTATATCTGTTTTCATGGTTCTCATGGGGGAGTTATTCTTGCTGATGAGATGGGTTTGGGCAAAAGTGTACAAACCATTTCGCTGATAATCGCTTTAATCAAAAAACGACTAAATCAAAAGCCGATAATTCGGAGATGTGTCATCGTAGTACCGACATCACTGCTAAATAATTGGTACGCAGAATTTATGAAATGGTCGCCGCAGACACAGGCAATGGTATATTTTTTGACTGTTGTCGGAAAGGAGCTAGTTATTTTTTCGGGATATTACCAAACTAAATCTTTCAGCTATTTCGGGTTTTGAAGTCAACAGATGTAGAAAAGTTGATTTCATATCGGAACTTATCAGTAATTGCGATCGTTAGTTATGATACGATTGTACGTTCCGCTGCGAAATTATCGGGTGTTTCGATTGATCTACTAGTGTGCGACGAAGCACATAGACTTAAAAATTTAAACGGAAGACTCCGAGAACAGGTATACCTGATTACTAGTTTTTTTAAGTTCTTGAAATTTTAACTCTCTATGAAAAATTTAACCGCAAAATGTTTAGCTCCAAACTTTGCATGCCCAACGACGTTTGTTGCTGACAGGAACGCCAATGCAAAATGATCTGGAAGAATTCTATTCACTGGTTAACTTTGCACGACCGGATCTTTTTAACGCTTTTTCGGAATTCAAATATCTTTGTGAAATGGAGGTATCTGCATATTTACCGGATAAAATGTGACTTATTATAGTGAATAACAAATAATTCATAAGCTTCGTGCAGCATAATAGTGCTTAATGCTTATTTTGATGTCGAGCTTCTTGTGACTTACCCTTTCTCCGTAACTTTAATAACCAAAACATTTAACAGAAGAGCTACTTCTGATAAAATATGAACCAACCATATAAACCAGTTAGTCAAGTAAGCAGTATTGATACGATAAATTTAGGAATATTTTGGCAATTTCGGTTACTGTTTAAAATACTTAGATATTTTATAGCCAACGTATTTCAACGAATTGCTCGCCGAGGTGATGCTTCGCCGAACAGCTGAAGTGATCCATGAGTGGCTACCACCGAAAAGTTCATAATTTTAATAATAAATTTTAAAATGGGCAGATAATCGCACAGATCAGAGATGATTTAAGAAAAGAACTGGTAATGAGAAGAGTCGATGAATGAATGCTCTTGTGAATATCTCCTTTTTTATAATAGAAGTTAAACACATGTTAATAACCAAATATTTTGTAGATGATTACATAATTTGGTGTCGACCGTCACCGTTACAATGCTTGATATACAAACGCTTGAAAAAATTCCTTTCGTATGATCACTTGACTTTAATTGATGCCTTGCGAAAGCTGTGTAATCATCCATCCATTCTCTATCAGAGTATTGTAAGGAAACTTCGGAGTTGCAAGGTAGTTTATGAATTGCCCGCAGTCTCTCTTTGTGTTACTTGCTGTGAATTTCTACATTCATTAAGGTGCTGGAAGTAAACTTCCAGTACCTTAATATTAACTTCATTGTCACTAGATGATACCCATTGATTTGGGAGTAAATCTATATATCCATTTTAAAGGTATACACGTAATGAATTATGTTTAGTGACGAAAGAAAGATTTTGAGTCCGCTTTCAGGTGGAAGAAAGAGAATTTTATAGCGCACTCCTTCGATTGTATCCTAACACTTTCAATGATTTTTCACTTTCGATCACCGAGTCAGGTATCTCCAGCTATTTCATAATCCCTAACGAAATTTCTTTTAGACCTAAACGTTTCTAGATCTATTAGTTCAATTATTTTATCAAGAAATTTATGCAACGTTCACAGTTTTCAGGTAAACTTAGTGTATTTGTCGAGTTGCTGGGAACGTTTCGGGAACAGGAAGAAAAAGTAGTTATTGTCTCCAATTTTACCCAGGTATATTTTTTTAATGTCGGAAAAAATGTAAGAAATTCAAATTGAATCTATTTTTTTTACAGTGAAACTTTTGAAGTGCAATATTGAGGTTGATTTACTTTCTGTTTCAACAGCTGAGGAATGTTTATTGCACTGTCTTTAAGCTCTACTTCAAACAAAAAAAAATGTCCACCAATAGGAAATCTTATGATCCTTTTTCTTTAGACTCTTGACGTCTTGGAGGAGCTCTGTAAAATTCTGTATTATACTTTTTTACGCCTGGATGGTTCAACTGATGCGAAAAAAAGAATGAAAATTGTAGAAGAATTCAATTTATCACCAAATAAAAATTGTGCATTCTTGCTGAGTGCCAAAGCAGGTGATTTATGTTAAAATCTCAGCTTAAGCGTTTAGATTTCATGTTTGTCATTTCATATTTGACATAGTATGAATTCTCCAACAGGTGGACTTGGCTTAAACCTTATTGGTGCTAGTCGAATGATTTTGTTCGATTCGGATTGGAATCCAGCTGTAGATATGCAAGCGATGGCTCGTATTTGGCGAGAAGGACAAGAAAGACCATGCTATATTTATCGACTTATAGCGGGGGTAAACCTCAGATTGACAATTCATTAATCTAGTAGACTACGTTATTCTTTATTGTTTTTAATGTGTTGTGATAAATGAGGTGATTTAATCCCATTAGAACTTTTAGGGTACTGTGGATGAAAAGATTCTGCAAAGACAAATCAAAAAGAGCAGTCTTAGTACAGTAGTTGAGATGGTACCAATCGAATGTAAGTATTACCTTTATTTACGATTGGATTATCTTACCGATTTTTTAATACTATTCAATGGATTTATGAAAATAGATGGCTAAAATCATCTCTTGCATATATCACGAAATCCTAGCTAAAACCGCATGAAGTTTAAATTTTCAGCACTTACACATTTTTCCGATGAAGAACTGCAAGATATTTTTACACTTCATGATGAGGCCGAATGTGAAACACATTGTTTGTTGGAGTGTCAATGCGACGGATGCGGTCTTTTGCCGGAAGAACTCGAAGCAAATGGAGACATAAGTCCAGATGAGGTTAATTTCAAATTTTAATTGAAGAGCTACAAAAAAACCAGCAGCATCACTATTTTCCCTACGTTTAACAAATGTTAATGATAAGTTGGACTTATAGAATTCTAAATCCAACCTGGACGTTGAAAGTGTCACTACACATAGCGAAAGAATGGATGGCAATGACGATCCTACGTCAATGCCGGAAGATTCTGTGGAGTCCTTGATACAAGATTGCAACGATTTTATCTGTCCTACCAATAATGAAGTACTCGAAGATGGAAGTGAAAATAAAATACCGGGAGGCGAAGCGGCATTATCAGCGGTTTGTCAACTTCGAAATTAATCAATTTTGGATTGCGGCTTGTTTCAGTTGCATTAAACTTCAACCTATCCCCTTCCTGCCTTGCATTCTTATGCAACTCCAGTAAAAGTTAATTTTTATCAAGACTGCGAAATCAAGTCAAGTTCAATTTAGCTTGATCTGAAGAGAATAGATTGGAACTTTGCCTTTCAAATTACTGTAAGGAAGCACTTTTAAGAGATCCTTGGTTGTCCTTTTGCAGTCCTATCGAAATTTCAGAGCGTGTTGATGGGAACATTGATGCGTTGGCAGCACTACTCACCAAGACACACAGATCAATTTGAATTGATGAAAACTGAGGCTGGTTTAGAGGACTGCTGCTTAGATGAAGTTTCGTTCGTTATGAAGCTGGTCTCGAATTTCTGAACTTATCATCTCTCGATGCTGATAGGACTGAGTTTGCTAATGAATCGAGAAAATGTATTTTTTATGAGCGCTTCCCAGGACTTGTAAAATATGTTTCAGTTGTTCTTGCGGGAAGTTTCGTTTTATTGTCTTTGAACTGTGAATTGATCCTGTTTTTATAAAAATTTTTGTTCGTTGTAAAAGAAAACACATACACTCTTCCGGCAAACTCAAGGCCCGGTAGTTTACCGGAAGAATCTGTATTGCGCTTTCCTTTTATTTACGTTCATATCTTCGGTTAAATAAACCGTTCCGATAATTTCTGAAATAGCCTCCATGCTCTGATTAAAACAAATAAATGTATTTCAAGAAATCCATGGCGTAATATGTCCAAAATCTATGTCTTTAGAAGTTATGAATTTAAAAAAGGACAGTAAACATAAAAAGAGATGTATAAAAGAAACAGAGAACAAGCACGAGAGAGCCCGCTAGAAGGTTTTCAAATCGGATTGGACGGGATAGTCACAAAATTATGGTCTGAAAACTTAAGTGGTAGGGAAAGTATTATTAACTACAAGAAAGTAAATGGTTTGCGATTTTTCAATAAATGTTTTGAAAGCCAGTATTTACCAAAAAATGGTATTGTCCGAAATTAGGGTACCCGTCCCATCTTATCAACAAGAACAATGATTATGTGAAAAGCGACCAGGGGAATGAACTCCAAAACCCTTAGAACATTTTGGCTTAATGCACAAATAAGTAGCGCTGAACTAGAACTATAAAATGCTTATAATTTTCAGGGTTAAAGAAGCAATGAAATACCATTGCAACATATCCAAGTAGTAATCTAAACAGAAATAATGTAAATACACAGCACCGACAGAAAACGAAGAGAATAGGCAGCTTTTAAAGCGAATGTAACTAAGTGGGATTAGTGAAATTAAATCTCAGATGACGCTTGGAAATAATTGCGGTTATATGACGAAACACGACATCCAACCCGCATTACAGATTAGCAAATTTAGACTCGAAATGATTCCCTTAAAAATTATACCAATTTATTATAACATTTACCAGATAGTCCCGAAACAAATGAGAGAATAATATCAATATGTGACAGTGAACTTCACATTTGCGGGACACATGCCGATTGTGCTGACTTTTCATAGTTCCAAAATAAACATCAAGATAACAAAATCAGTATGCAAAGATATAAATAAAGTGGTCCGAAATTACTAGTTTCCTAATGTTGGTAGTGCAAAACATGCAGGCAACATAGGAGAACTCAAAGAGCCACAATAAGGCACAGTGTAAGTAATTGTAATCATAATATTTTGCATGTAAGTGCGAGTAAATTCAACTATAATGTTACTCAGCAACTGCAGATAGAAAAATCATGGAAGAATTTCAGGAAGCGAAGAAACTCGTGTTCTTTGTTAAGTAAAATGATTTTTATCGAATTGCTTAGGCAGGAAAGAAATGAGAACGAATTATACAACTATTCCTCCACCCGTTTCAAAAACCGAGATGAAATAATATAAGTGTGCATTTATGATTGTGGGAATAATCGGACACAATTATATATGAAGTTTGACGTTACAATGAAAGAAATTTCAGCTTTTCTAAACTACTTGCACTTTTGTACCCAAAATGGATGGATCTGATTCGTGTTGCATAATACCTGAAATCTACCGCAAGCGACGAACTCTTTCAAACACAACCTTATTTCTGCAATTTTAAAAACCCTACAAAGGAAATTAATTTTGGGACCTAAAAATATTGCTGATATAAGAAATAAAAATTGCCAAATTGGTCGACTAACCCAAACAATATAATGCAGAGAAGTCATTACGAACTGAAAAACATGACAGACTAATACTAACATGTCTAAACTACACTGAAAAAAATGAGAAAGCGAATTAATTTAAATAGTCGTTGTTGTAAATTATCCATAAGCTCTCCACGAATTGGGAAGCATCTAATATCACTAGTTTATGGTTACCCATTCATATTAGAACCTCAAAAAATACACTATATGTACACAGATTAGTGTTTGACCCACGTTAAATAGAAAGAGTACAACAATAAAAATGAAAATTTTACAAGAATAGCGAAAAGACACGATGTGTTTGCGGTATTCCCTTTTTTTGGTTCTAAAATCAAAATCACTTGCCACCTTCAATCTTCTTTGTGTGCTGAACTGCTGTCGCTGTGGCCGTTTCTCCATTGGTTTTTGTTCCGGACATATTTTCCACCGAAATGTGCCGATTTATTTTATCAGCTTTACGCCATAATGTCATCTCCTTAAAATATTCAAAGTGTTAGAAGTTAAATCTAAAAAAGTTCAGTTGCACTTATTGTAAACAAATCGACGAAACCTAACTAGTCGTAGGATTACAGTAAATCGATAACCCAATTGGCACTGTTATCATTTTTTTGAGGAAGCTCAGTCTGCAATTATGCATCAATATCAGAATATTACATTGATTGCACATTTACTTCTGAAGATGATAAAAATTACAGTGAAATACCTTACCTGTTGCTTGAAGTAACGACGATCTTCTTCATCAACCAAAACAAGGTTCAAATAATAGCGAACTGAGAATTTTTTACCAACATCACGCATTGTTGGTGTCAAATCATAACCAGCTAGGAAAAGACGTATTGGAATTGATTCACCTGAAAATCATTTTAGTTCATTTCAGTTACTTGAACTTACTCACAAAACACGGTTAAACAATAACTAGTAACAGATTTCCTAATGGTAAACTCTTAACTGAGCATCTCATCAACTCAATAAACTACTTATCGATTCGTCGACGTTGATGAAAATGAAGGATAAAACTCTAAATTCTGAAATATCTGCCATAACTTATTTAGAAACTAACTTGGCGAGAGCATATATATATCAGCCCTTGCAGTTGGTACTGTTTATTTAGTCACTAATAGAAGTGATATGTTAGACGTATATACTAAAGCCAAAAAAAAATAATTCTCACCTCTCACGGGTGCGCCATCCATTATTTCGTACTTTGCTATTGTTTCATTCTCGTTGAAAATATTTGGCGAATTCCCTACTGTTTCTCGTTTGATTATTGCAATTTCCATAAACTTAATTTTGATCCGAACTAACAAAAAGTATATCTTTCCAACAATCACATCTTTTAGGTGATATCTGAAACATACACTTTCAATATAATGCAATGTTTCTATCGCTGAAACTTAACGAAGGACAACCTTGCATTTATAGTTTTGACCTTTTGAAAAGTCTAATAGACGCTCTGATATGTGCATTAAGCGCTTATTCCGTTCGAAAAATATCAACAGTTGAATGAGTATAAGCTTATGCAAAAGTTGTCCGCATGCAAGCACTTATGTATTTCTAACATTGTTATTACATTACTTAGACAAACCTATCCCCACAAAGAATTAGAATAAAGTAAAACAAGACTTACTTGGAGCGATTATATTCGAATTCAATATGCAGAGAATCTTCAATACCAACTTCCATTTTGATACTGTTATTTGTATCGGGATACGAAGAAAGCGTATGCACGATAACATCCATTTCGCGTATTATATCAGTCAACCTTCGCACAATGACTACCCTTAGGAAGTAGCTGTAACAACATATACGATATTGATATTTTATTGCTGTGCTGTTACTGTAATAAATTTTTTGAAATTCGTACATCCGGCGAAATGAATAAATGTCTTTAATCTCGGCTATCAAAAATGTCCACAATTCGAAGTTACGTTCAAATCAGTTCAGTACCAAAATTAGCTTGAAAAAAAGAAAAAACCCCAAAACATTTTTGAATATTCCTTTTTGTTTCCTTTTTTCACAAATTTGCAACAACAAGACCTTTGTAATAAAAACTGACATACCGCAATTTTACATTTGCACCAACATATGACTCATATGGTTTTTCAACTTTTGGAAACTCAAATCGAAAAACCGCATTTTGAGTCAATTCCCCTGGACGAGCCAACTCCTTCATCAACGTTATAAAATCATGCTGATTACCACGATCATAATTTAATTCTGAAAGGTAAATATCTGAAAAAATTTTATGGTCAAACATGTATGAAGGAACCAGTACATTCGCAAATAGCTCATGAGGAGAGAAATGGTAAACCTAAGTATGCATGTGACTGCTAATTAAAAGTTGCTCAAAACAGCTTAAGTTACCAGAAGATGAAAGTTTTTGAGCTAAAATTCAATTAATCTCATAATTTTTAACAAAAAGTGCCACTTGTCATTCAAATTAATTGTCATCGCACCAGAAGTTTACTGAAAAAATTTTCACCAAGAAAACTTAAAATGTAGATTTAACCATGATGCTTCCTATTTATAAAGACATGGAACAGTATCAGCCAATTGTTGCAAAAAGATTACTTGTAAACAAAAAAATAACGCACCGATTTGTCCAATAAATTCAATTCTTATTCCTTGATGATCAAATTTTTTCTTCGCAGCAACTCCAACTGTACCAGATATTGTTTCACCATCATAAAACAGAAAATGTGTTTCCTGACCCCCTTCTTCGCATCGTATTTTAGCTACCTGAAGTAGACATCTAATTATAATTATCCCAGAATTAAAGAATCCCGCGGGCTAACCCGCAATCAAAAAATCACGCATCTGAAGCGAGAATCATACCATGAGAATCATATCATCTAGATCAACAATTCGCAGTAACTCCATTGCATCTCAATTATACTGTCACCTCACCAAAAACAAATCCCAATCCTTATACATCTCAATTAGTTCAAATGATACATGTAACTTTACAAGATTTAGGTCGAAAATAATACTATGAAAAAAAAAACTAACTTTCCTATTATCCGCATCATCCAATTTGATCGAGATTTCCGCAGCTTGACCAAATCCAAAGAAAGCCTGAAAGATAGTTTTTTCAAGATGACACATAATACTTTCCCGCCAAGATATAGAACATCATTTAGCTCAGAAAAATGTATCTCATATTTAGAAGAATAAAAAAATTATCAGATCTTTACCATTTTGAAAGATCGCCTTCAAATGCTTCCTGCTTGGAAATGTCGGATTGATAATATTTGTAAATAAATTTATAAATACATAGAACAATTAAGAGAATTACCGAGTGACCAACAACATATTTAACTGAAAATTGTAAAATAGATCAAACAAAAATCATATGAAATTCATCAAATATTTCTAGGATATCCACCGAAAGGTAAAAAAAAAAGGTTAACTTGAGTTGAAATTTCGTGAACGTAAACGATTAATTTATCTTGATTTCAGTAAGCCTTTTATATCGAAAGATGTCGAAAGAGATCTCCGAAAAAACTTTAATGGCTAACTTCTTTAGAAAACTCAAAGTATAGTCATATTTGGCATCAATGTACTAAACAATTGGACGGTTGTATAAAATAAAAACTTCCTGTAAGTTGCATTGCATGTATTTACATTTGGTTATGGATGTAATGAATAGAGGATACTATTAATGTGTTATGATATTCAATATGACAATTCGATCTAAATAAATAAGAATACTGCGAACTCACGATGCAAACGCTTTCCCAAGTAACCTACGAAGAATCCATGCAACCTCTCTTCCTGCAGCTCCTTTTCTCGCCTGTCCTACCAATCCCTTCCCTCTCCCACCACTCCTTATCCGTTCTACGTCATACCGACCATCTGAACGCTTCCCCCGAACTATGAACAAAACATGGCCCAGAGCACAATAGTGGGTGCATAATGTGAAACTACTGTGTCAACATGTCATTTCTTATTTTACATTTCGTTTACATGGAATGAACTGTTCTACTGTTGGAGCAATTCTAGTCGCATTGGAGTTGCTTCAAGGACTTTAGAGATGAAGTTTGATCTGCAAACTATCATATCAAAGGTCAGAACTAATTGTCGTACCTGCTATGTTAAAAGATTAATGAGCTGACATGAGATTTTCGACACTGATTGATCGATTTGAATTCACTGAATTTTTACCTTGCCACAAAGATTCTATCATTAATTCAATTCAATAAAACAAATTCTAAGCATAATTGATGAATCCTATCGGAAATGTCATTCTTTTTCTGATTCGCTTTAATCTCTAATAAAATGAATTTCTCTTTGTTTTTTCTTCAGATAAAAATAACTGATATATCATACGACGAATGTGTTTTTTCATATATTTTCATATTGGAATCGTAAAGCTCTCCTACAGATTTCATAATTTTATAAACGGATAGAAACAATGTATCTTTTTTTTTCTAAAACAAAAGTCCGAGTGAACCGGAAAAGGTATTCAAAAATTTGTATAAAAAGGTTAATCAAACGGAACGATACAAATAGCTAACATATAATTCAAATATCCGATATATAATTAAAAGAAACATTAAGAAAAACATTGCATTATTTCACCGAACAGGTCAGATAATAAACATTTTATATCAGTGGAAAAGTCAGATTATCCTTCTTTACCTGAATACCTGAAATTTACAGTATATATTTTCATTCTCTTTCTTCCTCCTTCTCCTCTCTTTGTTGACTTTACCGATTTTCCGTAATTTAGCATTTAAATTTTGTGAAAGTTATTCTGAAGTGTTGAAAAACACCTGCACAAAATGTCTTTCTTATTTTGCACATCATTCTATTCGTCATTAAAAGCTATTTTAATTACTATCACTTTTAAATTACTATATTATAATTACTATCACATTTACTAAAATTTTTTATGTGATAATTTCCTCAATGAATTATTTCTTCCATTTGTATTGTTTCATGAAACTCTTCCTTCTACAACGCAAAAATTTGCGATCATTTTTATATTATCATTGTTTATAACTAACTTTTATTTTCATTATTGTTTTATGTTTTTGCATATATGTTTTTGAAGATGTAACAGCACTTTTTTACAATGATATTTTCAATGATAATTTTAACAATAATTTGTATATTATCAATTAAATATATCAAACTTGCAATATCACAGCATATAGTAGAATATGACAGACAATAATTTTATTTTCAGTTATGGTATAATAGCGAGCAAATGAATTTTTTGCTTAAATTAGAAAATCTCAAAGTTAAATTTGAAAAATTTGAAAGCTAACTAAATACCATCCGAAATATTTTTTTCTATTCTTAAATATTCGTTCCAGATTGTATTGCTTACATTCAATGTTCGAATCTTATTTTTAGTCATAATATAATAGCGAATGAATTTAGCTTAAATGAGATAATCTCAAAGTTAAATTTGCAAACCAACTAAATACCATCCGAAATATTTTCTTCTATCCTTAAATATTTGTTACCGATTTTAATGCTTACATTTAAAGTTCGTTCTCTTCTAGAAAAGATGAAAGCACCGCTATATGGATAAGAAAATAAAACGTAAACACATTTTGAAAATATCAACAAAAAAAAAACGTAAAGATATTTCAATTGTAATTTAATTCAAAACACCCGAGAAGTTATGCTTAATATTAATTAGATAGATAGATAGATATGCAAGGTGAAAATTTACGAATTTCTTAAAACGAGATCAAACAAAAACAATAAAATATTAATTTACATTATATCAAATATTTAATAACAACAATTGAATGTTATTGCTTTCAATTCTTTAATCAAATAAGAAATTATTGAAAAATTGGAAAAATTTTTAACCGGAATGAATTCATTCGGGAATGCTAAAGGTTAATAAGACTTTTAGATTATAGGATTTCTGCTGGTAACAGAAGAATGTTTTCGGAAACAGTTAATGGTGTAATTTCATTCTCAAATTATCTTATCGAAACTATTTGAAGTTGGATAAATAATGAAATATAGAATTCTTACATCTAAAATTACTGCTTTAAATTTAATTGGAACTTAAACGTCGTATATTTTTAAACTTGGTAAACATTGCAAATATAAGTGAGAGTTTTTGAATTTTTAAAATTTAATGATTTAAAATTAAACATTTAATGAAAGGAAAAAATTACTACGAAAGAATTACTACTACTACTGGGAAAACGAAAAATACAGGTGAGGTCTGATTGGTAGTAATAAAAAAGGCACTGAAACTTGGCTAATGATAAGTATGCCAATTAAACCTTCTGTTAATAAGCTTAAAAAATTCCTCATTTTGTGGACGATAAAATTCTTCCAATTTTTGAATAACATCGAATCGTACATGTGGATGAGCTCGACCTTTTGTTTTTCCCAAACAATGCAAAGTATCATCTTTTCGTAATACACATGGAAAACCTTTTATTGGATCTGTTGCAAAATTTGATCGTTGAACAACTGCAATATTTCAAATATTTCAAACTTGATAGAAATATTTTTGAAGAAGAAAAATGTAGAAATATCAGTAAATTGAACTTAATGATAAATTAATAAATTCATATATAACTTGACATGATACGTGAATAAATTAGTATATAATTGACTTGATACGTGAAATAATAAATTAGTATATAACTTGACGTGATACGTGAAATATTCTATGATAATTTCATGTAGAAAATGTAAAAGGAAGAAAAAAATATTAATCAAGTTAGTTTTAAATTTATACTTATAAATTTTAGTAAATGAGTGCAAAAATACAACTTTTAATAGTAAATTGAAATTTTAGCAAAATTTTATAAACATTTACCTGGTTTAACAGTTAGGAATCGTTCAACAGCATAAATTTCAGCAGCAGGATTTGTTATCAATCGTTCGCCATCCACGAAATGAATCTGATGAAGCGGAAAATGTTGAAGCCACCTTCGAATATGTTTATGGTAAATACCGATTCGGATTGCACCCCATGAAGCATTAATAAATTCTTTCATACCTGCCAAACATTATTATTACTACAAATTTGAACTTAAATTTCGAAATAAAAGTTAATTTTACATGATTATTCGTTTAAAATTTAAAAAACTTCTATTATTAACAAATTTTCTTAATTAATTAATAATTAATATACCGGTTGTATTATATGAACTATTGGATAGTACCATTTCCTCAAAACTTGGCGTGGAAGCATTTCGTCTCTTCTTACTGATTGCTTGCGTATAATCTAAAATTCAATTTTAAATAAAACCGTTAAAATTTTAATCCAAAAACAATTTTTGATTTCACTGATATAAATATAATATTTCGTTCATTAAAAGAATTTCATATTTTTGCATAAATGCTAATTGTTGAAATTCAAATAAAATTTCGTCAAATTACCTGATATTGCTCTGGTAATCGGATTTCGTACAACAACAATCAATTTAATTGTTGAATTCAAACTTCGAACTCGTCCGGGAGCAGTTTTACTAACAAAATATGCCGGTGTTTTTTCCACTGTTATTTCCGTAATGCTTGTTTCCGGCATTCTATTCCTGAAATATATGATAAAATTTTTCACAAACTGATTTATTTTCATCATAAAAATAAATTATCATAATTGTTATATCAATAATAAATTAATTGTCTTTTTTCTTAAAAAAATTAAATGAATGATATTGCATTGTTGATAATTTGTAATTAACAATAAAATTACACAAAAATTCACATTCAATCAAAATTTCCTCGAAATATTTCGTTGTTAATTTTTTTAATTGTTTTAAAAATATTTAATTTAGTTTTGTAAATTTTGAATTAATTATATAACGTATACTTTTCTTCCAATTATTTTTCCAATTAAGTTTTCAATTATTAAGTTATTTCTTCAATTAAGTTTTCAATTATTAAGTTTTCAATTATTGTATGAGTAAAACAGTTTATTTCATTTTTATGATTCCATCATTTCTCTTCTCATTCCAAACTATTTCCCTTTCTCTCATTTATTATCATTCATTTTGTAATTAAAAATATTTTTGTTAAAAAGGGAGAAAGAGAAATACAAAATAGTTAGATAGAATGGATGACGATAAAATAAAGTTCGAGTTTAAAGAAAAGGTATACAATGTATTACTGTTTCCCTAATTAAGAAGTAATTTTTTGGCTGAAATAATCGTTTAGGAACAATAGGAAGAAAATTTTGATAGACAGGTAATTTGGGAAGAATGTGAGAGATGAGATTGTCAGTAAGTTGTCAAATTTCACATTGACAGTATGTCGGTTACTTCAAACAACTAAAAGTCGGCCTTTACCCAATATTAGGAGGTCATCAACCAATCATTTCTTCATAACAGTAAACCATCTTCTACAGTTACCTGTGAATATGATGTAATTGATACTATATCTTTTACATTTTCTCTTTCTCTTAATTTTATTTGGTGTTACCTTCTTTTCATCTTCCTTTTTTCCCCTCCCTTTTAGTTACTTTTTCAAACCGCCCTGAAATCATCATTATATGTTTGAATTGTATCATCGAAAAGTTTCCTACACGATCTTACCAATTACGCCACAATAAACTTATCCCGCTATACTTCTTTGTAATTAACAAAAACCGATTATACATATTTTTCATTTAGCTACTACTTTATTAATAACATTGCTGTTAATATATATAGTATTATCATTATCGAATTCGTAATTATCGCTATTATCACTATTATTATATTATATTAATAACATTGCTGTTAATCCATATAACATTATCATCATCGAATTCGCGGTCATCGTTACTATCACTATTATTATCATTTATTAATAACATTGCTATTAATCCATATAGTATTATCATTATCGAATTCTTGATTATCGCTATTATCACTATTGTCATTATCATTTATTACTAACTTGCCATTTATTATTGTTGAAATATTTTTTTTTATTCAAACCTTTTCATCATTATGGTAATTAAACAAAAACAATGTTTTAAACAATTTTTTTTAATTAACTAAATTCTTTTTGATGTTTAATACTTCAAAAAGAAATACTAAATTTAAACAAAAGAAATATTAATAAAGAAATATTAAATTCGTATTCGTTTATTTTTTTAATTCACATTTATATTTGTTTTATAATACAAGCTGTATATATATTTGATGAGAAATGTAAACTGGCATCTTTTCAATTTGAATGAATTAGTAGTTTGGGATGAATTTCTAGTTTAAGCCTATATATATATATATATTTTGCATTAATTGAATTTATTGCAGTAAGCGAAGAGTAAGATCGGCGTAATGAGAGTAGTGAATAAGATGGCAATTTTATAATTTGAAGCTAATTAGCAATTAGAACTGTTTCGTTCTCATCTCATCTGATAACAAGCATATAAAATCAATCCCCTTATGCTATACTATTTATTCTTTTATCTGACCAAATTTCGTTCACACATTAAACCTTTTAAATCTTATCTTCTAATTTCTCCCTTTTATTGCTTTCTTCGTCAACAGTATTGTATTATCAAAATGAAAATTTAATTTTGATGAAATTCTCTAGGGTGAAGTTTTGCAATGACCACACAATGACCAAATATAGTATGATCATTTCTAGCTTTCAATTAATTTTCAATTCATCTATTTCAATATATATTCTAAAATGAAATTATCCAACTTTTATCGAGCAATTCGTTTTGATGAAGTAAATATTTGCAACAGTTAAAACACTTTCAACATTAAGACAAATTGTATTTGAAAAAGAAAAATTTTATTTCGATGGAAAAAGAGAGAAATGCTATTAGAGTGGGTTTTTTGGTGACAAAATTTTTCATAAATTTTATTACGATAATTATTACGATATAAATTATTACGATATTTATTACGATATAAATTCCTACGATATTCAAAAATGGAACTTGTTGATTGGAAATTTTTAAGAAAGAATTTCTTTTCCAATCTTATATTTATGACAACTATCCATAATACATTGTTTGAGATTGGTTTCTAAATATTCCAAATAATCTTCCCATATGTTGCCGGATGATGAATGACCTTAAATAATGATCCAAATAACAATTTGCACTCTGTTTCGATCCCCTCAATAATAAACAACAATACTAATTAATACAAAATGTATGTATGTATGTATGTGTGTGTGTGTGTGTGTGTGTGTGTGTGTGTGTGTGTGTGTGTGTGTCAATATGTGTGATTGTCTAACGAAGTGCAAATTTATTGGAAACAAATGACTTTGAACAGGAACAAATCCCTTCAATGAAAAGTTTGGTGTGGATTCTGCCATTCGAGAACTGACAAAACTGTGAAAATGCGCCTGTTACTTATTGCTGACAAGTTGTAGCAAACTTCACTTTTCTATGAATCAGCTGTTATATTCAAACAAATTAATTAATGAAGGTTAATTATTAATGACGAATCTATTTCATTTTAATTGAGCTTTTTTCAAATTAATTTTAATCATAATTTTCTAATCAGGAATTTAAAATGTAAATGTTGGAAAATTGAAATTTTGCACAGTAAAAATTAAAGTAATTGCTTCCAAATCTTTTATCAAATTGAAAATTTCAGTATAATATTCCTAAACTTATTTAATTAAAAGTTTCCACCTAAAATATCCACGATTTTTTGATAACTTTTTCTTTTGTTTTATACCCCATTTAATTCACCATCACTATTGTATATTTGATAGCCAATAATAAAAATTAAATTATTTACAGACCATATTCATTAATTATTTACCTATTTGCTTAATTAGCTATCAATTATTTTCAGTCATGCCAAATCTCATACAATATTAATGACTTTGTTCCTTTTTCCAATAATTACTATTTCGATCTTCTTAACTTTCATCTTTTAATGCCCATATTGCAATAACAATTTCTTTCATCCATCTTTTCTCCTATTATCTAAATCATTAATTAATGATAATTTTTATTTTTTTGAATTAAAATAGATAACAAATTTCAATTGAACAATAATAGAGGAAGATGACGAAGAAAATTATTGACAGATAACAATAATGGAAATTTCAAGTTTGAACGATCACAATTCAGGTATTCCACTTTAATCCTCATGTAAAAAAATGATCACATCTTATCAAACGAATATAATTATATCAAGTAGTGACAATAAGAGTAATTTAGAAAGAAAATATATATAAATATATCTGGAATAAAATTTGGTACGGGAATGTCCTTGATTAATTCCAATTATTTAAATCAATTTCAATCATTGAAATATTCGCATTTTTTCCATCCCTAATTTACCTTCTTGATCTTTTCTTTTCTTTTCGCTCTTTCTTTTCAACAATTTAAATTTTATTTTAGCATTCCAAGAAGTGCAACCTTTTTCATCCTACTTTTTCTCTTATCTCATTTTCTTTCCAAATTTTATTTCTATTTTATTATTTTCGTTTTTTTAATGGATAAGGCAATAAATAGGTTATCCAAAAAGATCCATTTCAAATATACAAACAGAGAACATACACACACACACACAAGAAGATTTGGAAAATGAGGTTTTGTGCTAGGAAATTATGAATTTTTTTGTAATTTTTTAGCATATAGAGTTCTACAGCTTCTATCTTTTGTTGTAGGTAGTTTTTCTTTGTGTATTCTGGAAGA